GATAGATAGATAGATAGATAGATAGATAGATAGATAAGAACAGATAGATAGATAGATAGATAGATAGATAGATAGATAGATAGATAGATATGAACAGACGATAGATAGATAGATGATAGATAGATGGATAGATAGATGAACAGACGATAGATAGATAGATAGATAGATAGATAGATAGATAGATAGATGATAGACATATGAACAGACTAAAGATAGATAGATAGATAGATAGATAGATATGAACAGACTAAAGATAGATAGATAGATAGATAGATAGATAGATAGATAGATATGACCAGATAAAGATAGATAGATAGATAGATAGATATATGAACAGACTAAAGATAGATAGATAGATAGATAGATAGATAGATAGATAGATAGATAGATAGATAGATAGATATGAACAGATAAGATAGATAGATATGAGACAGAGGGAGATAGATAGATAGATATGACAGACTGGATAGATAGATGGATAGATAGATAGAACTATCTAGGAGATAGATCTATGAATATCTATCTATCTATCTGGATTAGATAGATTCATCTATCTATCTATCTATCTATCTATCTATAGTCTGTTCATATCTATCTATCTATCTATCTATCTATCTATCTATCTATCTATCTATCTTTAGTCTGTTCATATCTATCTATTTATCTATCTATCTGGGAGAAGAAAGGTGAGAGTAGGGAATAATAATACGATGAAAGAGGAAGGAGTGTTAAATTCAAACTTTAATTATAGTAGTGATTGGGAATGTTTTTTGGTTATTTTAAAAACTAAACCAGTATATTTATATATATATATATATTTATTAAAGACATTTTTATTTATGTTTAACGTTGTTATTTTATAGATACAAGTATTTAAGCAAATGTTTATGATAAACAGTATTAAATAACATTTACCGGCCTGAATTATCGAGAAATTTTCATAGAAAATATTCGTTCATAAACAATATTCGTTCTTAAAAAATTTCTCGGAAATTAACAACGTTAAAACATAAATAAAAAAATTCTTTAAATAAATAAATTATCGGGACCTCGTCCATTTATATATATATATATATATATATATATATATATATATATATATATATATATATATATATATATTTAGGTTGGAGTTATCATTACTAATTTTATAATCAATGAAAGTGTTTTGTCAATTAATAAATTAAGAGTTGGAGATTCATTCTTGGTATGTTGAATACATAAGTTATTCGTATTTTTTTTAAAAATCAGTTTTAGTTTAGAAATTAAGATATAAGTAGAAAGCTAGATAAAAGTATGGGATAATATAACTTTTATAAGCAAATTTTGACCTAGTGTCGGACTGTATAACATGTAGAATAAGTATGGATGTAAATCAATTTACCTGAAGGTATTACTAGTATTACATATTCATAAAATACATTTTATTAGTCATAAGCTAAGACAGATTAGTAGAGAGGTATATAAGAGGCTAGACAGTATATCAAAGGAGGTGAGTTATAATTTTAAACGTTTAGAGTTATTGATTTAAAAGTTTAGGAAGATTATAATGTTAGATCCTTAATATGTCTACAAAAAACGTTGGTTTTATATCTTTGATTTACTAGTTGAGTGTTGTACAAAAGTTCAATAATACATGTTTTTTCTTGCAAACATAAAGAAACAAGGTTCGTTCAAAGATTTGCATGTTCAGACCTGTTTTAAGATTTTCCATTTAACCTTAGGTGCTTTTCCTTTCTCCTTCAGTTTCCAAATATAATTAGATAGTGATGTCATCAAGGTTGAAATTAATTCTAACATAAAACAATTAAATTTCTTAGATGTAGCCTTAACTTAGCCCTAATCCTAATTCCAATCACCCAGCTCCGTGTGAAATATATATATATATATATATATATATATATATATATATATATATATATATATAATTATTTAAAAAAATATGATTCCAACGCAACATAAGAGTACTCATGTTTCAAAACAAGAGCCGAAAACTTCAATATTATTATTTGAATTAAAGTACTAAGCTCTGTTCCATCTTCAAGCGAAATTGTTTCTGATTCCCAAATAATTTCGCTTGAAGATGGAACAGAGCTTAGTACTTTAAGTTAATTTAATTCAAATAATTATATTGAAGTTTTCGGCTCTTGTTTTGAAACATGAGAACTCTTATGTGGCGTGTTGGAATCATATTTTTAAATAAATGATTATATTTATGGTCTACTTTTGTATTGAGCACAGTTTTTTAAAAATAATAACAAAAATACTAAAAAACTTTGGATTATTTACCTAACGAGTTCTTTCGTATTTTCTACCCCCCCATATATATATATATATATATATATATATGAGTGTGTCTGTGTGTGTCTGAACAGATAGGTAGATAGATATTAACAAGCTGAGATTGATTGATAGATACGGACAGCCTGACGCAAGTATATACACATTGAAATAGATAGATAGATAGATAGATAGATAGATAGATAGATAGATAGATATT